GCAAAACCATCATTTAAATAGCCCGCTGCCAAAACTTTTGCACCTGCCACCAGTTACGCAATCGCTCTTGTTAAATCACCCGCAAACCATGGTTCAGCCCCTCGCGCAAAATTCCAGTTTGCGAGCGCAAATTACTGCACGCAAAATTGGATCTTGATAAATCCGGCCCTTAGTAGTTTTTTGGAGCACATACTTTTTCACTTTTACTTGAGTAAAGAGGTGAAGTTGATACAACAGTTACACTGCTGTACCATAATTCTACTTAAGTAACAAATGTGTGTACTTTTGACACCACTGCCCACCACCTGCCCAGCATCTGGGACTCTTTGTGCGACAAAAAAAACCCCTGTGAATCCCGGGTTTTGCTTTGCCCCTGTCTGCTTTGTTAGTTTGATTTGTTCTGGACTGATTCCTGGGTTCTACTGGCGTCTGAACTTAGACCTGTCTTCTGACTCTGGCTTTGGATTTCCCCTCAAGGGCACTGTTGCTTCTTGGCGTCGGTTGGCGCCTTCTCTGCTCTTTCTCTAGGAACTTTTGGGGGGTGGGGTGCTGCCCGCCGCAAGCTGGGGGGTAACCTCACGTTTAGATTCAACTCTTTCCTCTGGGAGCAGACTGAACTTTAAATCAGAGATTTGCCCCACAGCTGACAAGCAGCCCCATGTTTCTGTTTATTTTAGTCTAAACGCTTTCCCACTGCCTTTCTCACCTAGAATTTTGGGTCCCACTTCTGAGGTCATTACAATTATACAGCAGTAAGGGCTGATACATGGATTTACATGGGCCGATTGAGACCCAGGTTGTCTCATCCAACATCAGTTTGTGACCTCACAATTGTGTTTCTGAAAAAATGTTAAAAAAAAATGTGTGGACAGCCTTCATCATTTGTTATAGCTGGCACTAAATCAAATTGTTTTTTAGTAATATTGGTAATCACTAGTCTTTTAGGGTTTGTAATGTAAGAATATAAGAACTACTATTTTAAAAAAGACACTTTTTAACTCACTCTTAGATATGGAACTTTTATTTTTAAATTTCACAAAGGTTTATTACTTGCACTGTTTTCCAAATTGTTTCGTAAAGCTATTAAACAATTAAAACCAATGAAGTAGTGCCACATGTTTCAGAATGTCAGGACCATCAACCATATCTACTGTTTATATTTATGTAATGTAATTTATGTAACTATTTTGCATGTCACTATCACTTTACTTGGATTTAGCTCTAAATATGCATATATATATATATAAAAAACTGTATCTGGAGCATGTAACAAAAGCAATTTCCCTTAATTACATTAAAGTATTTTTGATTCTGATTATTCTGATTCTGATTGCAGTGAAATTAACAGCTCTGTTTTAATGTAAACAAGTTTATTTGTGATGAATCACAAATAATAAAATAAAATAGGTTCACCAAAGCTACATAACACATGCTGATTAACTAAGATGTGAGCTCTGCCAACAGGTTAAGTCATAGTTGTATTCCATGATGTGCAAAATCCAACATTTTACCATTGCAATTTACAGGAGGCCCCTTAAATAGCCATTTTCTAATCTGCTCTTTAGACACAACTCTTCACCTAGGCTACTATAAATTTCATTTTTTATTTTCTTTCTTTCTATGTCATGTTTTTCTGTTGCTCCATTCACTTGTATATCATTTTACTTTTAAAGTAATTTGTTTCTACTTTTATTTATTTATGTAGTCTTTGATTAAGTCTTTGTGTTTAGCAAATTGATGTCCACATTCTATTTTGAAGTGCTATGTAAGTAAAGTATCATATAGAAGTAACTCTAAGCAATGGTTTTCTTTCTGGTTTTAGTATTGTATTCAAGAATCCTTAAAATTTAATTACTTATTTCTATGCAATTATTATCTAAATATAAATAATGTGGTTTGTTTATTGTGTTTCGGGACAAAATAGTCATCCCTCAAAAACACAAGTTAGTATTTCTAAACATGCATTAATGGAAATCCCATGATTTGTATAATGCAGTCTACATGTGTGTAAATTCAGTTGCCTATATGATGTATACATATATATATATATATATATATATATATA